TATTTTCGATATAATTTACAAATTTATTTTCTGATTGCAAATATTATTTTATTGAAAAATATTTTTCTTCAAATATAATTTGCAAGAATTTTTATTGAGTTCTTTCACTTGACATCGTAATCTAAGATAGTAGTAGTGAGTGAATAGGAGTCTTTTAAGTAAAATTAATTTAATTCATTGCTACAGCACAAAGATTAAAATATACGAAGTTGTTAGAATAACACGTAATTGCACTGAAGAGAAATATGCGATTTCTGCTTTTTATATAACTTTTTTTATATAATTGCAAAACCGTTTTTATGATTTTATAATCTGATTAATTATTTAGATCTCGCAGTTTTATTTGAATCGGTAATATAAAAGAATGTCGGGCTTTTCAGTAGGAAATCTAAGTGTCGTCGATGATGAAATGGAATATGTAAATTAATCTGTTTCGCGTGATGGGAATCTCGCAATTTTCTTGATTCCGCGTCTGCAGTTCTCATCTTATTGTGAATTCAATTACATGGTCAGTACGGGAGACATTGGCATAAGCGAGCACACTTATTGCTGTAAGAAAGATCGCCATTAATGAAAGTTATGCACCAAGGAACGGTATCGATTAACGTTTAGTCCAGATGGCTCTTCCGGTTTCGCAATTATATATTCACCTCTTTATTAATACTATCTGAAAAACAAGAAGAAAAAAGAAAAAAACACTGATCGATATTTATGCATCATTAATCGGTTAATTTACATACATCTGCAAGAATTAAGAAAACACAAATAGTCATTGCATGACGTTCTTCCAAAATTTAAATATCGTTATCAAACACCGTATATACCTATATATGAAAAAAAAATGGAAAAAGGCTGAACATTTTTGCAGAAATATTGTACATATTATTTGAAGATAAATAATAATGAAGTCCCTTAACAAAAATTATTCATTGCATATTTATTGCACAACGTTCTTGCAGATTTCAAATATTCTTATTAAATATCATTTTATCAAAAATTTTGCAAAACGATAATATATGTTTTAAGTACTTCATTAGAGCTACGATAAAAAAAGTGACTACGTGTATACAAAATCAGAAGTGAATAAAAATTTTGTAGAAGGATTGTACATATTATTTATATCAGAAAGATAATAATTGAGCTTCTTAACAAAAATTCAATCATTGTATATTTGGTTGCATAGCATTCCTGCAAAAATATATAATATTAAATATTCTTATCAAACACCTTTTTATTAACTTATAGAAAGATTAGACATATTATTTGAAAAAAAGTAATTGAGACCTTTCAAATTTCTCAAAGTTACAAAGAAAACGTGATCATATGACACTGAAAGATTAAATTTTATTGAGTCTTTCAACAGTTTCCATTACTTTTATCCGCTTTTATCGAAGGAGGGCCATTCGGCATAGAGAACAACGTGACTGATCAAAATACGTCAGTTACTAATTTTATTTAATAAATATAATATTACATTGTAACATAAGGAATATCGTATGTAATCATCGCCATTTGCGCGTCCCGCGCTCGCGCGATTCCAAATGGCGAGCCGTTTGCGAATCGTCCGAGCGACAGCGTGTGTGTGTGTGTGAACATGTAATATAACTTTATTCTTTGTGATATAGAACACTTCTTTCTCTCTAACGACGGCACAAAACATACAGTATGTTACAATATCATTACAGGGATAATCATTGCGAGCGACTTGGTCGCCCAGCAATTTCGGGCGAATTGCAGAAATTTCGACATTTGCAGAAATCTCGACGCAGAGATCCGACTCTTAAACAGAGTGCTACTTCACGATATGAAAAACATTTGAACAATGAATTGAATCTATACCCTATAGAACTATACGGCGAGATTTCTTTGCTTGAGGTTCTTTTTTTTTGATTTGTTACGTGTAAGCTTAAATGGAGCGGACGACTGGATATGTTATCGTGGGCAGTGTCGTTAGTGTAAATAAAACAATACTACCGAAATAAATAAGATCAAATAGATAATATTAAAGTATAATATAAGCTAATTAGTTCGCTTGATTAAACGCCGGTTCGAACGTATCCGAAAAATACAATTAAGAGATCGATTTAGTTATTATAATACTTCGAAATAAGGCTAGTTCTATCAAGCGATCGATATATGTATATATAAGCGGATAAATTTATTTTTGCAAATCTTCTCCCGGCCAAAGATTGAACGTGATAATGTGCTACGGCGATGATTAAAAGTGACAAGAGCTCGAAGGAAATAACTTTCTACACTCTACCCGCGCACCCATCCGCCCACTCTTTATTTTCCATTACTCTTTACAATCTATCGGTTTAACGATTTCATCGATCCTCTATTTACATAATATCGTTAAACCCATATAAATTCGTTCGCGCCGTGAACCGTGAAATTTATCGGAGCCATAAGTCTATCGAAAAAATTTTAATAACCAATGCTTTACGAAGTTTAATTACCGGCGGTAATCAAATCGTATCATGACGGATGTTTCCGCCACCTAACTTTTTCAACTTTTTAAACGTAAAGTTGCGTGTTTTCGTTCGATATTAAATTTTTATCAAATTTGCGATTTGAAATAATTCGCGTTAAGAAGGACTTACAATTGAAATCAAACGGTAACAATTTGACACTGACAACGAAAACGAATTTTTTTTATAATGAAAACATGTATAATATTTGGCGCGACAAATATAATTATGTACCGCTAAAAAAGCAATTAATCGCAACTTGTTACATCTCTTAGCGATAATATGACAGTAAACATGTCGATTAACTGTAAATAACTGAATAAATTAATCATGAAAATGAAAGCATTCTATAGTCTGATAGTTCAAGCATTAGAATTGTGGGCAGAAGTTTACACAAATTCGCATCGTATTTATGAACAGGATTAAATGAGAAAATTTACATAGACAATGTATCTTTCGTGTAAATTAAAAAAAATGCTGCTTCATAATAATTATGAGTACGTGCACGGAGAAACAGTAAACATTTTGCCGTTTTTACGCAAAAGTAACAGTCACGTTTTACAACATTACTTGCACCCTCGAAGAACTAATTTCCGCCCCATTCCTTCCGATATTTCTCGCCTTGGAAGAATGCGACGGTTCACTTGCGCATGGAAGCTGCACTTACCATTAATTAATCTAATATATACAAATCGGACCGATAATACAGCCGCAAAAAGGGACACTTCGAGTTTCTCCATAGAAGTGGAAGATCACTGGAAACATCACGCGAGGATACATACCGCAAAATCTCTCTGCGACACTTATCATACACAAATCTCAATACTTATCGCGCATTCGTTCATAACAAAGAACATCTCGAAAGTACGGTATTTATAGTTATCGATTTTTGACAGATTATCACGTCATGGTATAAATATCTTGGAAGTTGGAAAAAAGAAACAGATTTCACAATGGTGACGATCGTTAATTACAATAATTCGTCAAATTATTTAATTATTTACAATTCAATATAATTTATACCTTGTAAAGTACTCCCTCTTCCCGCGTTATCTCCAAGAGATAATTTTTTCATCGTCTGGCACGTTCATTTTACACGCATTATATTTTATTACATTCTCGGATTGCGTAAACAATACGCGAAGAGGATGTCCTTGGAATTGCGTCCTCTTCGTCTACAAGAAAACTTGACTTACTGTCAATATTCACGGAGAGGGAGAAAGGGAGGGTCGATAGCAAAATATTTGACATACGAAAATAGATGTATAAGATTTTCTTTACATCGTTTCGCTATCACAAAGGTTATCTATAATTGTAATTGTCTAGGATAAATTACGATCTGATATGTAATATATACATATACGATACAATATATACACATATAACTCTGTACGTTTGATAAAAGAAATTTCTGTCGGTCAGCTGTGTATTTATTCACAGCGACAAACGTCGTATAAACAGATAAAATTAAGTTACTATATGTATAAAATTTTAATTCTTTTGTTCTTTGTATAGGCCTGACTCTCTGGCCCCTTTTATATCTCCGCCGTGAAATCGCTTTTCGATTAAAAAAGCTTTACATTCATGAAGAAATGTAGAAAATTTAACATTCAGAAATATTATTTTATCGTTTGAAAAACAATGATAACTATCTTAGAAATTAAATAAAATTAAAAAAATAGAAATTTTTACACGATAGGAAGTTAATAATAAAGAAATTCATTTATTAAAAATCCCAAATCTAAAATCTTAATAAATAAGTAAGTTAAAATTATTCCAGCGATAAAGGTAAATTATGGAATTAAATAATGGAAGAATTGTTCAAAATTAAATGAGTAATTAATAATGAGAGTAATTAATTTAAATAAGTAAAATAGAGATCGAGATAAATCTGTTCCCAAGTATCTCGTTCCAGCGAATATACATGTATTAATTAGATATCTCAGACTCTGTTTAGAGTAAATTACTAATGTATTTATATATCTGCGTGTATACATCTCACGCCTCTTCCCTTCCCTCTCCCTCTCAATTCCTCTCTTCATTAATAAAACGCAAGGATACATCGTACAAGGAACAATATGTACAATGGCGCACGCACGTTTGTCATGATTAGCAATTAATTGTTGCATCGATCAAAATATTTACACGCGAACTCTTCACATATTTGCCATTTTTTTTAATTTCCTGTAAATGTGATGCAACCAACGCGAAGTATTGTCTCGCGAAATTCAGCTAAACTCGAGAAGTAATGTGGAAAGTTCTTACATTAATGATTAATGATTTCACGTCAATAATTTACAGTGAAATTTATCTTTGATCTGAGAAAGAAGAAAAATTTTTTCTTCTCTTTTCTAAATAAAATTAGTGAAAGAAATTAAGTATAAGAGAAAAGAAAATGGTATAAGAATATGATTTCTAGGCCAGTAGAGTACATTGTCGGAATTAGCGTAACAAAAAAATGTAAAAATACCTCCTTCACATGCCTATGGAATAAAAAATTGATTAAAAAGGATTTTTGAAATCCTTCTTAACGAAAAAAACATATATTTTAATAAAATTCAATTGTATGAGTCAATTGTCCTAGAGTAGTCAACGTTATTTGTCACTTTTTTCGTCCCGCGAGAAATTATTGATTACCTTCGCTGCTGTATCGTTTCCATTCTTTGCCGCTAACAACGTCACACGTTACACAAAGAGTCAGAGGTAGTATTCAACATGATTAATATACGGCAGTGTCATTCGGAAGGGGCAAGACGCCTATGTACTCTTGCTAATTTTGCTAACCGATCAATGCGAACGGGTCGATATCGACAGCCGATCGGCTTGTGGCTTAAGATCATTGTACGAAATTCACATTGTATGTCTCGACTTGCATCGGTTGCAGGCCGATCTCTTGGAAACCGTCTTTCAAACGGGCGCCCGACTTCGTACCAGTCAACGACGTCTTCGTAACGTTGACCTTGTCGAGCTTGTAAAACGCGGTGCCCTGCGCGAGTCTCTCTATGAGTGGACAGTGTTTCAGAGCCACGTCGATACCCACGGAGCAACTGTAGCCCTGCCGGTGCAGCACCATGAGCGCGCTGTTCACTGGGAAATGTGGCAGTTTCTGATCGTGATTGGTGCGCAGATTGAGCAGATGAAGATCGCACGGGAAACTTTGACTCAACAGTCTGACTTCCGGCGTCATCGTGACCTCCTGCTCGTTACCGTCTACCACGAAAATATTCACCGGGTAGTTGAGAGTGTTGCTCAAATGATTGGCGAATAACGACGGTCTCGAGTATTTGTCTTTTTCGCCACTTATATCTTCAAGTAGCAGCCAATGCTTGATGACAGTCCGCCGATTGTCTAGCAGACCTTCACCCATGCCCCGTGAATCATCGTATAGAGTTCTGCGATCCAGCATCACCTCGAGCCAGCCGGGCTGGTAGCTGGCCGCGCCCTGGCAGTGGTTTACTAAGAGTGTCAGTCGGTGACTCGAGTCCTCGATGTAGGCCATGGTTGTGATGGGAAAGTAATTGCCCTCGATGCCGATGCGCTCGATTTTGGTACGTTTGATCATCTGATGACCGTTCAGATCGGTGTAGAACTCAGGCGGATCGCCGTTCGAGATGTCGGTTTGCAAACGCATAAACATCTCCGTCTCGCGATTCTTCGGTGGCGTTTCAAAGTCCACAATGTTGCGTAGGTAAATGGCTTCGCCGAGGCCGCCGTCGCGATGGTAGATCGCCACATGATGCGTCAGTAACTTGCCATATTCGACGGTAAGGCGGGAACTCAAGTTACCGCTGATGATATAGATCTTCTGATGCGGCGTGTACGCCTCCAAGACATCCTTGTCGGTGTCCCGGAGATTAGGATCAGGCATGAAGAGATAGGCACCACTATGGAACTGAGCCGAAGGATACGCAGCGAACTGCACGGCGCACTGCATGATCTTGCCGGTGGATTTTTTCGTCACGCGCTTCAGGAAACCCGTCTGCCCATCAAACAGCAGTTTCATTCGTTGATTCTCGAGCTGTACGTCGCCCACTTGCATAGGTTTGATAGGAAAGACATTGTCCTTGCCGCAACGGCTGCAGTACACTGTCGAGATGGCCTCTGCCGGCACTTTATCGACTTGTCGCAAGTGGTATGTGGCGATTGACAGTGGCTTCAGTTCGGCTACGAAAAGTAGAACGTATACATCATGCGTAATGCTCGTGGCGTTCATCACAGGCGCGATCTGGTAGGGTATGGGGTTCTTCTGAGGATCTAAGACTTTGATTTTATATGACGTAACTTTCAGACTGATCACTTCCTGCCTGGACTGCGCCAGTGGATTGAACAGAACGATTTTCCTAGTCTCATGATTATTCACGCCGATTGGTATCTTCTTCGGCAGCTTCTCGTAGCTGTCTCTATCCGATTCGGACAACACATAGACGGAATTCGACTTGCCGCTGATGGTGGCCGCGAGAGACTGGATGGCAAAGCTTTGCAGGCTCGTCGTATCCGAGATTGACTCGAAGAGTTTCAGCGCATAATCTTTCATAACAAAGGACTTTGAGGTACCGGTAATCGCATCGTGATGCTGGAACAGACCCAGATTACGTCTCGCCTTAACCAGCTTCTCGAAATACGTCTCGTAAAGTTTTATATCCTTGCCGGATTGCTTGGCAAGATTTAGCGTGATCGTGTAAAGGATCTCGGCAGATCTGAGATTCGCCTCGAGCTCGCGGTCCAGAATCTTCATGTAGGGCCTGGTAGTAAAGTAGCCGCTCCAATAGGCCGGTCTACCTTCACTGAAAATATCCGAGTATACGAAGAAGTCGCCTGTTAACGATGGGAACTTGTTCACGCGCTTTTGTATCTCGTGGAAATAGTCCTTCGGCGTGCCAAACACTACCTCAGCATTATACTCGTCCTTCCGACTATTTATGTAGTCCATCAGGATCTTGTAATTGGTGTATTGTTGATCCCATTCGATCGCGTGGTCGTATCTGTAATAATAATAAGAAACATGAAGTTTTATTAATTATAGAAACAATCATATTTTTTTCTTGATATATACAGAATGTTTCGGAAATCATACAATTTGAGAAAAAAATTCTTCATCATTCATGTAAAAGGAAATAAAAAATATTTCCAGAACACTCTGTGTTTGTATATGTGTACTATATGCATGTTTTAAAAAGTAATATATATTATGTTACATAATATAAAAACAACTAATTGTATCTTCCAATATTAATTATATTTTAAAATATAAAATAAAAATTTTAACATTATCGAATTATAATTAAATTAGAATTAAATTATGTGTTAATTATTTTATAAATTTAAATATTAAAGTTAATTATTTTATAATTTTACGATAAAAAAATTTGTCGAATATATGTGTCTCTTTTTCGAAGGAACAACATTACAAAGAAAAATACAAAATAAAAGAAAAATTGAAAAATTATAAACACAAATATGATGAAAGTTTCGAAATAAAGTTATGCAAACCTAAAATCATCGCCGAGTGGCATCAGCACGACGTTGTGAGTGAACAATGAGCCGGTTCTCGCATATTGCTCCAGCAACAGCTCGGCCATCTGCTTAACGTTGTTAGGCGTGATCTCGACGGCGCGAACCGAGTACTCCGTGTATTCGCCGCGTATTTTACGGAAGTCGAAGTTGAGGCAGACATGCGGATGTGGGCCGCACGAGTGCTTGATGTTGTAGATGTCGAACGGTTGATTATGGGTGAGCATGTCGGCTGCGCCGTCGCGATCCCACGGCTGCCGCCAAACGAAGTCGCCGTATTGTTTCTTGGCGAACCACTGCTTCCACGCGTAGTGTATCCTCTGAATCACCGTACCGGATGCACCAGAGGCCTTGAGAAAGTAGGGTATAGTACCGCCATGGCCGAACGGGTCGACGGACCAGCCCGACTCGGGTGTCACGTCAAGATTTGTTTTCAACCATTGATGACCTGAAGTTTAGAAAGGGAAGCTTTTCTTATAGCTTTTAAAGTAAGATATATATATTTAAAAAATATATGGACAAAAGGAAATAAATAGTTTAAGCACGATTATTCTAATTATTAATTATTAATAAGTTATACACGGAAGAACGATTGTACTGAAGTATCTAAAAATTTAGATACTCAAAATAATTTTATAGGAAACTTAAGCGTAATAAGAGCAATACTACAAAAAGTTTTAACGTTTTTAATTCTAGCAACCAGCTTAAACATTCTACATTATTTAGTTCAATAAAATTGTTTTCAGATTTGTATCTAGTTAAATTTTTAGATACTTCAACAAAACTGTTTTTTCTGCAATTTTCTTTATAAAAAGAATATCGCTAGAAAGAAGTAATCTTACAAAAAAATATCAAGTACTTTGAATTATTTCAAGAAGATAATTTTTTGTGTTTTTTATTATTATACAATTTGATATTAAAATATTTTAATAATTTATTTCCTTGAAATAAGCAATTGCAAAGAAGCATTTAGACAGTAATATCAATTAGACAGTTATATCGATTTCTTGTAATGGAAGATGCAATTTAGATAAAAAAAAAAAAAGATTAAGACATTAAATTTATTGCTAGAGTCGATTTCAAAATCGATTTTCAAATAGGATGTATAAAAAAATGTCATAAATTTGCAGATACTAGTAAAGTAAGTAAAGTAAGTATTTTTATTTATTACTTTGAATTATTTATATTTCTATAAGTTTGTTATTTAAAGTACAAATTTTAGTTGGCTAACATTTGATATAACTCGCATATGACTTTGGTTTATTTTCGTTCAATACTACTAGTACTAAAACTAATCTACAACTTAATTATGGATCGCGTATCGCAAAAGCCGCGTCCGCCGACCTTTTTTACGGCATGCATTAATTTGCATCGGAGAGAGCTTTTTAAAGTTCATCCTGCCGGGTTCTGCACGATGCGATCAAATATTCATAATGCGGATTAATCCGTTGTTTTCGTGTTCTGAATATTCCAATTCTTCGAGCTATAATAAACGCATGCCGAAAACATACATTTATTGACAGTGTATGTACTAAAATATTAAACGAATAAGCAACATAATAAAGTCACACAATGAAATGATATATGGATAAAATGTCGATTAAAAAATCTGAACACTAGACAGTCTGTAATTAAATGTATAATTTATAAATTTTACAGCATGTACATTTATAATTTATCTGTCTCGTTCGGCAAATATTTTTAATTAATGTACAAATACATGGATATATTTTATTAGTTGATAGAAACGCGTGGTATAAAGTATAATGGTGTCTCCATGAAGTTAACGCGGAACAGTCAGTAAGCCGGAGTTAGTTGGAGAGTTAGGATAAATGCGATTAGAGGAATACGCCATTAGCACATGGGAAACATCGGATTCGTCGAAAAAATTAGCGATACGCCGCAGCGGTTAGAAAGAGAGTCGTCGATCATGCCCAGGCAGAACCAGACTACACGAAAACTTACAGCGTGGTTCGCAAACGAATCCGCAAAATTAATCCCGCAGAAATGCGAATAGAAAACATAGATAGGCTCGCCAAGGGATGGTTAATAGAATTAGCCCGCAAAGTCAGCAATAGTTAGGCTTAGGCGATAGGTATATAAGCTTAAAGGTGTATTTTACTCTTTTTCCTGTTCAGTTGTGACAAGTTTAGATGTCGTGTACGCTATCGATGTTAACTATCATATTCGACTAGTGTTTTTTAGCATAATTTCATGAATGATTGTTACGGGTGCGTGGTGCGACAAGTATTGTACGATAAATGATATCTACGAGGCACGCGAAAGGCATGATCTGTAAATTAAATAGATTATGTCACTTAAACAAAGTGATATATACATCATATCTTATTATAAAAATATAATACTATTTATCGACTTCCAGAAAAAATTTTAAACCTAATTGATATTAATTTTGAAATTTCCTTAATTGGTATTCGCGAGTCCAGTGCAGTTTGAACTATTTGTTTTAATGTATTATTGTTTAAAATTATGTAATTAAACACTAAATTTTTGGAAGTGAAATTTTACCCCAAGAAAAGTGATAGTTGCGCCAGTCCGGCAAAAAGTGAACTTCACACTTCTTCAGGAATGAAGTTTTTAATCTAAAAAATCAATTTTAATGATTAATATCTCGCTTTGCGAGACAGAGCGATTTTTTTTCTACCATATTTGTTCGTTTTATGCAAAAACACGTTGAATGAGTGTAATAATTTTTAGATTAGATGTAAAGAGGCTAAATTTAACATTTATCAGAGTAAAATTTCAGTCTCTCCCTTCGGAGAGTTGAATTATTCCCTCTCCACATAGATAAAAAAGTTACTCCTATTTGGAATGATTTTTGACTCTGTAATTGTAAGAGTGAAAATTTCACTCCTGTCGGACTGGCGCAACTATCATTCTATGGGAGTGAAAGTTTATTCCCAAAAATTTAGAGAACATTTTTTTTATTTTGAAGGTCAAAATCCGAGGAATAAGATTATAACTTAAAATTATATAAGATTGTGAAAAATATTTGTTATAAACAATTTTTCACAATCAAGCTGAAAAAATTGTCCAATTATAGGCTCGGGAATATCGATTAAGGAAAATATAAACACTCTCCAGTAGGAATTCATTCTGTGTACAGAACTGTACTGTCTCCTTCATGTGAAGTTATTAACGATTTAATAATGCTCTTGTATGTTGAATGAGTTCAACTGAAAATGATTAAATGATGCTCTAATAATTCTCATACGAAATCGGATTCGAATGAGACTTCCTGAAAATTAACAATTATTCAACGACCATACGTATGAGGATAGGAATCTGGTTATTTAGAAAAATCGTTCGCGATTTAATATCGGAGGGTATGCGGAAATTAATGTTCACTTTGTGACGTGAACATCTCATGAATCTACCTAAAATCCAAATTCTCGGGGTCATTCGCAGCTCGCTCGCAACCCGGAAATTGCATCAATTATTCGAGAAAGCCAGAGCTCGGCCGCAAATTGCGCGTTCGTCGTACTATCTCGCCGATGGAGCTTGCATTATTGTGGAAGTCCGGACAGAGAGAGTGTGAGAGAGAGAGAGAGAGAGAGAGAGAGAGAGAGAGAGAGAGAGAGAGGGAGGGGGACATGGAAGAGATAGTTGAGAGGAGAGAACGTAGATAGAAGCCAAGGTGGGAAAGAGGGACTAGAAGGGTGCCTAATGCGAGGAATAAACCATTAAACTGTACTCAGCCGGTGCTCGACTGATTATAACTCGTTAGAGCTGCACGACATATGTGCATTAACGGAATTATCGCGAGTTACAACGCGTTGCCACCCTCCCTGAAAGATTGTCTCTTTCATATGTGAATCCGCATTCCCGGGAGATCCGAGAAGGATAATCGGGGGATTACTTTCTACTAAGAGAACTGAATTTAACTTCGCCTATTTTAGAAAAAGCTGTAGTTCACCGGGATATATGTAGATGAAATGTAGGTGAGTCTTGAACAAGAGGAAATTTCGTTAACGCAGTAAACTTAAATCCTTTGGAAGAGAAGTTTAGCAAATCACAAGGAAATATAATCGCGTAAATTAGATAATACATATAGTATATGAAATTTTAGAGAATACGGATATATTATATTATTAAGATATTTTTTTCGACTCTCATTCTTACGAATGAAAGAAGGAGAGGAACAAGAAGGAGAAACTTACGAAAAAGCTACAGTCACGTTCTAGTACTCCAAGATGGAACGTGCTAGTGGGAAAGTGCAGTCGAGATGCCACGTGAGATACGGTATATGCTACATGGAGTAAATCAACGTGCTAATTTTTTGGCTCCAACTTGATTCCCGTAGAATTTCAAATGTTGACTTTATCACGAAATGCTCAAGGGAAAAAGAAGCAGTCTTATTTCTTATTCTTAAATTCTTTCACGTTGTGAATTCTTTCATCCACAATATCCAGATCAAAGAACAAAAATGGAAATTCGAGAAAGGATAATGTGTATTTATATTTCTCATTAATACAGGAATATATATAAAATTCGTTTCTTTTCCCGAAATTTTTGAGGCATTTTAATAGCTTTTATGCCACTATATATAGATTGAGTTTTGAAATATCTAGATGAGATTCCAATCTAATGTAAGTAAAAAGAATCATGAAGGTAGTAGCGTGAATAATGCAAGACCTTCACACTCATGTCTGTCGTCGATTATTAATAGTCGGATCGGACGTATCGCGATAAGCCGCTGTGAAATTTTCAAACATTACATAAAACAAAGAAGAAGCGAGTCTATCCATAACTGGCCGATAATGAGAGACATCGTGCGCCACTTGTTGCTCTCGTTCTGAGTTCTAATTCTCATCGAAGCCGCATACGTCGGTATGTACGATCTTTATAATTTTCTCAGCGGAACTCGTCGAACCAAGCTCATTAATCGCCATTAATTAGCCTCGACAAATCCTTCGACAGGCGCAATCCCAACACATGATTTATACTGACGCGTCCATTTGTATTGGATTTATTATTCATAATTTGATGTTGTTAAATGGTATCATGTCATTTCAGCTTCCTCATTCCACTTTTGTTAATTTTTTAATATGGAATTTTTACAATATAGTAATTTATGATGTACCTAATAATTTATCATCGATTTTTATAAGATAACACAAGTAAGCGAAAAAGATCACGTTCAGCCAAAGCGGATATTGCCTGATAATTGCTTAAACTGGAAATTGCAAGATTCATATAAAAATATTATTATATTGATATATGATCTCAAGCGTGCAATCGAATGAGGTCAACATACGGGTTATTAAGCATTTTATCATTTAATTTGGCAATTAAAATGAAGGAGCTCTTGGATACATAATCATAAAAATAACATCATAACTTAGCATCAATCCGTTTTATTAATTAATTTATCTTATTATGTTCAAGCTATTTATATAATGAATATTTTTCTCAAGTATTATATAT